GGCACACTCTGCGAAAGCCTGCTGGACCTGCAGGCATGACATAGCGCTGAAGAACCCCACTGCGATACACTCCTGAACCAGGCTAGAATTTCACCGATTTTCGAAACCAAGAGAGATCGCTGTCCCAAAGGATACACACTAAGGAAAATAATTGCCGTTTGCAATATACCTCGCACCAAGCTATTTTTATGGATATTGTATTAACGGGAAACAGAAGACTGCCTTTTCTATAGACAGAAATGCAAACAAATTCCATGTTAATATATGGTACCTGCAGTTGCAGAGGTTTTAGAAGCACTTACCTCTGAGCTGTGCTCGTCTCGAGCCATCAATGCCAATACCTCCTCTACCAGATCAGCCTTGTTTGCATGACCCATTCGCTTAATATCTGTGGGTATTCAAAAAACAGTGCAAGACATCAGGAACATTACTAAATCTGACAGCATGCAGATTGCTCCAACTCAAATGAACCAAAAACAGCTCATCAAAATAAAAACCCAGTCGTGCAAGTCAGCTCAGATTTAGGCGGTTGTATCGTGTCAGTGCGTCTCTGACAGCCAGCCACTTGCCTGCTGACAGAGAGCAACACTTCCACTCAGCTCCCATCATCAGCTGAGGTCCGTACCCCTGCGCCAATCATCACTGCCACTCACCATGCATTAACTCCTCATGTTTAAAATTAAAATAAAATAACTCTTTAGGGATTGAAAGAAGTCAGGTTTTTTTTTAATTAGCCAGGTTAACCTTAATGTACTTATACGTTTAATCTTTCCTTACTTAAATAAACCCCTTAATGTTTTATTTAAATTAAAATGTTAAACAAACAAAAACTAACCTTTCCATATCATTGGGATGAGGTCCAGTCTATTATCAGTGTCCAGTGCTTGGAGCAAATCCTTTAAGCCTTGAGAATTGGGATAGTACAACTATGACAAAAAAAAAAGCACATTTCAGGTAAAAATCCACTCTAGTCTACAAACATTACTAAATCGTAATTTTAGAGTCCCGTAAAGTGTACAGAACTGGAAATCAATAAAGCAGTTACATACAAATTGAGGAAAAAAAGCTTTTCTTATAATCACTCACAGAAGGTATCAGGTCTCTGTACCACTTCAAAATCTCATCGATGTTCTCCATCATACACAGCAAGTTGAAGAATCTTCCACTTGAAAAACAAATTGCAATAGTTTCCGACTTCACTGATGGGGGTCTTAGGTTCCTCTAAACCAATTCATTAAACACATGTTTCGGCATATTTGATCTTAGAAAGCACACTTACTAATAAACACTTCGCAGGTAAGAGTCACCCAACAATTGCCAGTTGTCTCCCTCCCCAAGGAATCTGTGCAGTCTGTAGGCTAGCTCGATGTCTTTAAGATCCAAACACTACAAAAAAAAAAAAAGAGAAATAAGACTGAAGCCATCAGATAGTTCAAACAAAAAGCCACCATGGTGAATCCAAGAGAATTAAAAGGGTACTTACAATTTTCATGGCACCAGAAAAGAAATACACTGCAAAGGAAGAAAATAATGAAATAAAACTAAAAAGAGGGCAAGACCATCCAAGTATTACATTTAAACAAACTCAAGACATCCAAGTAGATCTTGACCTGAGCAGCATTTACCAACTTATTTTTAAATCCTTACTAAATGTTTGAAAACCTTCAGACTTGGGAAAAGAGGGAGAGAATGTGGAGTTTTATTACATGAATTCAAGTTTCCTTTTTCACTTTAAACTCAAAAACCCTGAAAATCAAAGCGCTAAATTAAAATGGGTAAAGAGTTTGCCTATGTCATAAGAGCACTCGTACCATCATCAGGATCCTGAGCAACGAAGCTCTTTCCTTCAACTTCATCCATCACTTCATGGAGGATTTCAGTAGGGCCTCTGCCAGAAGAGGCTGCACAGGAAAGCGTTCAAAAACCATGAGAAGACCCCAATATATCCACAAGGGTGCCCCAATGGCCAAAGCTCTTGTTGCTCTATGTACAGCAGTCAGCTGCTGAAGAGACAGTAAGCAAGTAATCACAGCTGGTCGCACCTGATAACTTCATAAGGCTTTGGTGGATCCTGCTTCTAAGAAGGGGGCAGGGACTACAGATTGTTTACTGCACTTATACAGAAACAAAGGATTCATGAACTGTCATATAGATCTTATTTCATCAGGCACTGCTATTCTGAAAAAAAAATGCCAAGAACTGATTACAACAAAAGTCCAAACTAAGGGAACAAGAAAAGTTGGAAAATGTAAATAACCCCAAGGATCCCCAAAACTAGAGATAGATTTTAAAAGTATACTTTACCAGTTTTGTAGAAAAAACCAAGGAGATGGTGAAATGTAGCCAAACTGGGCTCTGTGAAGCAAAATGAAAACGTTTGTTGAGATAAAAACAAAAATGCTTAAGGGTTTGTACTGGGTTTTCAATTTCTCTTGCAAGAATACTATTCCCTAAAGACTACTTGGATGGAGCTTGTGAACCTTAATATCAGTAACACAAATTGAGACAACACCATTTACCTATTTTCAGAACTACTTAAACTTCTGTAATACTCCTGTGGAGATCTGCATCCTGCCTGCCTGAAACAAGACTCTTGATGACATCTTTTTGCACACCTCTGGCAGGTTTCCATAGTAATGATAGGAAGTGCAATTTGATCACAGCAAATGAGTTGGTATGAATTACAAAAAGGCAGGTAATCAGGCCTAGGCTTTCCAAAACCAATGCATTAAAGTATTGAAGAAAATAAAGTGCATTTTAAAAAGGTAAGGGATTTTTCTCTTTTCTTTTTCATCAATACAAAAAAAAATGAACTCACTACACAGAACCATTCCTTGATTCAACATGTATATTTCACTATCCTTTTCAAAGGACAACAATCAACAATTAAAATAATGCTTAACAGATGACTAATACATAAAAAAACCTTTGCAGGAATTAAAATAGCACAATCTTGTGATATAAACATCCTGAAATCATTACTCAAGCAGGAGACCCACATCGGATTTTGGACAAAGGGCTGGTAAAAAAAAGAAAAAATGAAAAGGACATTTTTGTCCTTATATTTTTAATGCAATACATTTCTGTACTTGCCATAGAATGGTTTTAACGTGCTTAAATTTTCAAGTCAGCTCAGATTTAGGCAGTTGTATCGTGTCAGTGCCTCTCCGACAGCCGGCCACTCGCCTGCTGACAGAGAGCAACACTTCCACTCAGCTCCCATCATCAGCTGAGGTCCGTACCCCTGCGCCAATCATCATCGCCGGCAGCCTATGGTAATTACAGGTACCTTGCACCAATCTCACAGCCACTCATGTCTTGTTCACCCAAAGGTGGTAACTACCTGCACAGACAAATGGTGGCATGTAGGGGCTTTCTGCCATCAAACGTCCAAAAAACATGAAACGCTTGGTACTGAAAGCGTGCAAGTTTCACACCTCATGGTCATTTCTTCCTGTTCCATCTCAGGCGAAGCTTTATACAAGCGGCAGATATGTCTGGGTGTCGCCTGCTTGCGCGGCCTTCGCCGTTACTCACCAATGCCCAGGGCCTTCATCTCGCCGAGGGTGTGAAAGGCCTGGACTCTGGCCAGGGGCCCACACTTGCGCAGGCTCTTCAGCACAGCATTGAAAGTCAGCAGGTTGGGCTGCACCTTCTGCTCACCCATCTGGTTTAAAAGGTCCTGCAGGAGACAGTTCAGAATAGAAGTTAAATCCTTTGTACAAAGACAAAAAAAAAGTAACATCCTTGCCTTTTCAGTCATTGTTTTGATCTTAGGGTT